TCCTCCTTCCCCCCCCCCCCCCCTCCCCCCACACACACACACACACACACACACACACACACACACACACACACACACAATGGTTGGCACTCATTTCTTCCCCTGTGCTCCATCTCACGGTCTTACCCTCATCCCTCGGCATCCTCAAGTCTAATGCAGGGATAAGGATTAGTGAGTGTCATATTCCTATTACTAAAATAAAAACCTAATTTAAAGATAATTCATCTCCTTTCAGTATTAAAAATGTATTATCTCTAAACCTTTTTATAAACGGATAATTGAGGTCAGTAGTTTCCTAAAATGTTCTCCTGCTCCATTGGGCTGTAAAAATACTGGCCGGACTCAGACCAAACTTCAATCCTATAGCCAACTACCCCCTCCGCCCCCACCCCCCTTCTGAGAAATGTATTTTTATACCACACATGCCAAGAATGTATTCTCTCTCTGGCTCTCTCTGTCTCTCTCCCCCCTTCATGTTTTTCTAACGCTCATTTAACTGCCCTCATTCCATCTTGATGGTTGATTAGAGTATAAGGTGCATTCACATGGCAGACATTTGTATTATATCTGTTGTCTTTTAGCATTTGTGCCGTGTGATTTGGTGTCCTTTTTAAAATACTCTATTTGGTATGATGAGGTTGGAGGAAGGAAATCATAGGAAATCAATATATAGAAGAAGAATCGCTAACTGAATTGGGGTGAAATGAAGTGTAATGTCCATATTAAAGATATAAATGTATTTAACCCTTGAAGAGGGGCTACCCTCGTACTGCAAGGGTTAAGTGCAAATTTTTGCCTAGGGTCAAAAATAAAAGTTCAACTCCACCGGTCCTCTGAGCCAGCTTGCTCTTAGACTGGTCCTACCAGCCTCACCCCTTCCTGCAGCGGCCTAAGGTCCCTGAGTGATTACATTCTATACACTGGGTATAGGATATGAGGACATTGAGGGGCATTCCATGGCTGGAGGAGACGGGCAGAAAGGAGCACTTTGACAGCCAGCGGACTGGATTCCCCTCTCCCTGCTCCGATCCGCCAGCGCTGACTGGTGGAACGGACAGGGGAGGGGGCGGGTACAGCTGGCTCTGCCTCTAGATGGGCAGAGCCAGCTGTCACTCACGCAGCTGGGCGGATCCAGATATAATTGTCGGGATCCGCTTCAGCTGCGGGGTCTCAGTATACCGTGAGCTGTTGCTCGCGGTATACTGAGCTCAGGGTGACGTGAGGACGCTAGTTTGTGTCTTCCCGTTACCCTGAGGGGAACTATGGGGGAAAGCCTTAACCCCATAGTTCTCCTTTTTAACCTTTGCGCGGCAGGGGTAGCCCCAATGCCAGGGTTAAGAACACTTTTACCTGGAGTTCTTCCTTAAAGCTGAACTCCAGGCCAATATAAAAGGCAAATTAAAGCCGCTTCATATTTAATTCTACATCCCTAACTTTTTTATGTCATGAAAGCAATGTAAACATATGAATGAAACATGGTAGAAGGTGGGGGACGCAGCACAATGAACCAATCAGGTGTGTTGCACTGTAAGGAGCCAAGCTCAATAGTCTGCTGCTTCCCCCTTTTTAAATGTCCAGCAGAGAAAGTTCAGGTTCCCTTCCCGACAGGACTGTGCTGTATGACAGAGCTGTTTTAATCTCAGAGCAGGGTGGGCAGAAATACAAATCCTTTTTTGGTAGGTAAAGCAGCTCTCCTAATATGTATTGTATCTGGTTTATTTAGCTGTTTGCCTGATGTTCAGCTTTACATTTCAAATTAGTTGAAGTATTCGTAAAGATTTTTATGGGATATTTTAGGGCTCTTGTACAGGCCGCCCGTGGCCATACAATGTTAAGACTGCCTGTGTTCAGAATTGTGTACCCTTACGCATGTGTAATATGCATTCTTGGCTCTGTTCAAAATGTCTGACACAAATCCGCCCCCTGCTGTAGGCTCTCACCTTGCGACGTGTTACAATGTACAGTCTGGATGAATATTGTGGTAGAGCTGGAATGTAAAAGTTCCTCCCGCCTGTGACAATCTCGGTAGCATCTCAGCCTACGCAAGGTCACTTCACTGGACTCCAAGGACTAATTTTAATGATAAATGGCACACTTTTTTTGGGGGGGGTTTTTTGGGGTGTATGGTGTGGGGGATGCTTTTCTTAAATCGATCACATAGAGTACATTTAAATTTAATATTTAAAAGAATGGCACATGTACTAGATTTTATGGGCGATTATTACACAGCTACAAATACAATGTTGGTGCGATTAGAATTTTAGAGGAAGAAGTGAATTTGGAGAGGAAATGAACGTTTCCATTAATTTTCTAATTTATTTTGTATTTTTTAGATCCCATTTTGAATTGAAACTCCCGTAATGGTAAAAGTCTTCTCACCGCAATGTCTTGTCTATGGAGATCTCACAGCGCTGTTTGTGGACCTTTGTGATGGACCCTAAATTATGCTCCATACCCTTCTTCCAGTTCCTCTGTGTACCAGCTTGTTCCAGGAGCAAAAGACAGAGCTAGTTCATACAGATGCCAGAGAACAGCAGGGCTCACCTGGGCCCTTACTCCGCACGATGTCACAGGGAAAAGGAAGGCGTCTTTTTTGAGTCCTACTACCGATTGCGTCAGCAGTATCCAGTAATCCTTCTTCTGCTGCTTATTGTCCTAGCAATATGCTGCTCGCTTATAGCCACCACCTTTGCCACCGGGCGGGTAAGTGTTTTTCTTCCTTTTGTGTAATGTTATAGTTTTGCACCAACCAACAACAAATGTATGTCTTTTGAACCATGGTACCTTCTTTACATACAATATGTCAGATAAGTGTCCAACCAGACTGTCATCCTCAGAGAGTCAGCATATGTCCTTCAGAGAATATTAGTTACATCACAAGACTGGGGGCCCCTTTTGAGGAAAGGGAGAACTGACTGATGAGACATGTCTGTTTCGTTTATTAGTTTCTCGTCTTCCCTCCCCTAAACAGTCTGGTTTATTAATAAGTTAACACCTTATTACCCTTAGGGCCTGTTCACATGATATCAGGTGCAGATCTGCAGACGCGGTGCTACTGATGCAGTGCGTTTTGGCCGCGTTTTTGATGCGTTCCAGTTAAAAAAAAATGTTTTGTTTTTTTTTTGCTGGAGTGGGGCTGTCAGTATGTTAGCTGCAGTGCAGTGCGTTTTTGACTCGTTTTGCGTTTCTGGTCCGTTTCCTGACTGTACAAAATGTGACATGCAGTATTTTTTCTGTCGTAATCTGAACGGACTGCGCACGTGAGAACTGTAGCCCATAAAACACATAGGGATACATTGGGCACAGAAAACGGACGTCGTGTGAACAGGCCCTTAAAGTAGTGGGGCATGGGTTCTATTGACTTCTAGTAACACAATCACCCCAGAATCCTGAATTTATCAAAGATTGGATGTTTCATAAAGGAATTTTGAGCCTTTACTTTGCCTGGAGTGACTTTTTATAGCAGTCTCTGCAAGGAACCTATACTCTCCTTCATGCACATAGCCACAACACCAGGAGCGAAACATGCATGTACCAGGGCTGGCCTCATGTCAGTTGCAAGAACAGGGAGGCGTGACTATTATCCACAACCAGGAAGGGAACGGGGAGGCGTGACTATTATCCACAACCAGGAAGGGAACGGGGAGGCGTGACTATTATCCGCAACCAGGGCGGGAACGGGGAGGCGTGACTATTATCCACAACCAGGGAGGGAACGGGGAGGCGTGACTATTATCCACAACCAGGGAGGGAACAGGGAGGCGTGCCTATTATCCACAACCAGGGAGGAAACATGGAGGTGTGCCTATTATCCACAACCAGGGATCGAGCGGGGAGGCGTGGCTATTATCCACAACCAGGGAGAGAAGAATTGAAAAGAATTGGGGGGGGGCTTGCTCGAGGCTGGACTGCTATACTATTGGATACTATTTGGTTTTCACTTTTAGTGAAGTTCTCCTTTTAACTTATCCCCAACCCCACTGGAAGTGCAGCCCACTGGGGCCAATATTTTCCTTTGGCATATTTTAACTGAATGGACATTTGGTGTTATTGCAGTATTTCCATTAGTAACTTTCGCCATTTTATACAACCTTTTTATCTCAAAATTACCTTTTTATTTGTTTCATAAAATGGTACATTTTCTCAGTTTAAGCATTTCGATATGTTTTCTATTGTGAAAAATGGGTTTATGAGATTTGCAAATTATTACATTCTGTTTTTGAGGTAGATTTTACACCGCATCCCAACTTTATTTTGGATTTGGGTTGTATGAGAGTCCCCATATTTTTGTTGTACATACATTTTAAAAGACAAGTTTACCTTTTTTTTATTGTACTTGTCCTATAATAAGAACCCTACCCCTTTTATTGCAGCCAATCTGGGATAATGTCTTTCTCCCCAATCCAGCAATCCCTGGTCCAAGCCAGCTCCTCTTTATTTTTGGATCGTAAGCCCTCAAGGGCAGGGCCCCCCTTACCATGTAATGTCTTCCTTTATATTGTAAAGTGCTGCGCAAACTGTATAATAACAATAATTCTGCACGTGCCAGCCATGGCCCAATTCCTATGGGTAGCCACCTCCAGTAGTCCCCTAAAGTACGTCTTGCCCATAGGAATAAATGTGTTTCGTGAAAATACCCTTTGCCCTCCCTCGGAGAAAGGGATATCTCTGGTCTGTGTGTAATAGGCTGTACTTTGGTCTCAGACATGCTCCAGACATATGCTCCTTTTTTATTAGCCGCTCCGCACCACAATGCACTGTATTGCGGTATCGCACGTTGTGGCGTGGTCAGGGGCATTGCAGCTGGAGTGAAGTTCAACCTTCACTCGCAATGCAGCTCCCGTACAAGGTTTGTTGCATGGTAGCATACATTAATCGCATGGAACCATGCGATTAATAAAACGCTGTGGTGTGAATGGGCTCCAACAACAAGCTCTCAGGGTGTTCCCTTCCCAGCCCAGGCAGTACTGATACACAAAGGTTTCGCATATAAATGAAAAGCCATATGAACAACATTCTGCTGAGCCTTTGTGTAGCAGTACTGCATAAATATGGAAGAAGGAAATACCCAGAGAGCTTGTCCTGAAAATTTAACTCTTTGTGCAAATAAAGTGTCAAACAGTACTCAACCGTGTTGTTGCCAGTGCACAAGTATGTCTACAATCACCTTAAGCATGTGACAGGTTTACAATTATTATTATGACATAATATGATCTGCACAGCTTTGTTCTGAGACAAAGGAACTTTTGTTAAATCCTTTACAAGAAAATAAGGTGGTTTTGTATTTTCATTTACATACCACTTATAAATTCTGCAGTGGTTTACAGATTACATTTCACCACAGTGTTTGGTCCAGTAGAGCTAATTTCAGCCATATGAATGACTTAAGCAATGCTCTCATTACATTCATCTCGTTATATAATAATGTGGGAGTCGATGCCAAGCTTTTCAGAGGAATGTCACTGTGACTGCAGATCAGAGTCGCCCTTTAGCATGTGCAATCTGTGCAGTCACAAAGGGTACCATGTCTCTATTCAAGCATAAGGCACTTTCTACTGAGAATCTCATACCTTTCCAGTATATGAAGAGGATCACATGTCTATAGTGCAGGGGTGGGATCTCCGGCCCCCTAGCTGTTGTGGAACTAAAAGTCCCATGAGGCATTGCAAGACTGACAGATACAGGCATGACTCCCAGAGAGAGGCATGTTGGGATTTGTAGTTAAAGCACAGCTGGAGGGCCGGTGTTGCCCAGCCCTGATATAGTGGGAGGTTATTAGTGTTAAGTTAAATGGCTTTATTTGATGGCACCATTGGTCAGCCATTAGCTGGCACCACTTGCATTTATGGGACATACATGCCTATTGTAAATGAAATATAGCCGCTTAATACAGAGAGGTGATGGGAATGCCATCTGAGAATGGGGGCTGATCTCATGAGTCCCATGAATTTCTCCCATGAGACTGATGCGATCTGCTGCAGGCGTGAGGTGCTGTACAATGCAATGACAGATGCCGCCACCTGCAGCTGTTCACAGACCGTGTCAATACCTGCAGCCGATTGCACCTGAACGCAAACAAAAAGATTTGTTCCTCGAAATGTCCTTTTTATTATAAACAAGCAAAAAGTTTTGTTTGCAATGTCCTATTCAAATGTAAATATGCTTTTTATAAGCGTGTGGGTTTATTTAAAGAACATAAACACTTTTCTCTATACGCTGTTGTGTTGTATTGTATTCTAAAATTCACATCTGTGCCTTAGATACTCTAATCTGTACCCAGGGCTGTACATTATACTTTATATTGCATACCTCTCCAATCTGTGCACCTTCTGTGTTTTATATACTCCACACCACTCTATACCCGGGGCTGTACATTATACTTTATATTCCATACCTCTCCAATCTGTGCACCTTCTGTGTTTATATACTCCACACCACTCTGTACCCGGGGCTGTACATTATACTTTATATTCCATACCTCTCCAATCTGTGCACCTTCTGTGTTCGATACTCCACACCACTCTGTACCCGAGGCTGTACATTATACTTCTCCAATCTGTGCACCTTCTGTGTTATATACTCCACACCACTCTGTACCCGGGGCTGTACATTATACTTTATATTCCATACCTCTCCAATCTGTGCACCTTCTGTGTTATATCCTCCACACCACTCTGTACCCAGGGCTGTACATTATACTTTATATTCCATACCTCTCCAATCTGTGTTACATCCTGCACATCACTCTGTACCCGAGGCTGTACATCATACATTATATTTTACACCTCTCCGCACTCATTTAACTGGAAGTTGTATACTTTGCTGCCTCAGAAGAGTGAGCAGAAAGATGACCTCATCAGTCTCCTGCTTATCCTACGCTACCTTGTCACAGGCTGCAGGCAGAGAGGTGATGTTGCTGTGTTTCTTACCTGCAGTAGAGAAAAGGCAGGTCACCAAATTGTGTGTGTTATCTGGCAGGACTATATCAGTCTCGGGACTCCATAGACAGAAATACTAATCCTTTGGTAGTTGAAACAGCTGATACATACACACTCTTCAACTCCTCCCTTTTTTTTGATGTTTTCCTGAAGCTAAGTGTGAAGTACCGAGTAAAATAACACAAAATATGAGCTTGCTGGATATTCACTATAGTTTACCTTTTAAAAAGAGTCATTACTTGTATGTCCAGACAACAGCCAGACTTCTGTATTGAATGGAACCTTATGGAACATGCATTGGGATAAAGATCTCTCATCTAGGCTGGAATTTTTGTACTGAGCTCCTGTTCCTACATGCTGATTACTGTGGCATCATTGGCACTGTTAAAGCTGAACGCGGGGCACGAAAATGTTCATTTAAAAATATTGCTTAATGGCCACAAATGATATGTGTACTTTGTGTGCCCCAAATGCATTTGCAAGCACAGTTATCACCTTGTTAAAGTAGCACTGATATTATCACTGTGCTACACATAGCCTGTGCAGACAGCAGAGCTGTGGGAGAGACCCAGCAGGCTCCACCCACTACAGACTGCCTGTAGAAAACTACAGAAGGGGGTGGATACAAGACCACTCACCCTGCACAAGGAGAGAGAGAGAGAGCAGCAGTGACTGGTCTTTATTACACAGCAGCAGCCATGATCTTGGTATAACCACTTCAGGACGACGACATATATACACAAACGGCGGTTCTGAAGTGGTTAA